CTCTCTCCCACAGCTGAACGGAGGAGGCGATGTGGCCATGTTGGAACTGAACAGTGAAAACTTCACAGCCGCCCTCAAAGTTTGGTTTGGTGAAGTGGAGGCTGAGACCATGTACAGGTAAAGCAGCCTTTTGATGGCGGGGGCAACGCCATTTATGACCATTGCCATAAACATAGTTCTGAGTGGATTTTATTGAAAAACATTGATTAAAGGCACAAAAAAATGTAAATGGGCTGTTTCCAGGACATTCAAACTTTGGAAGTCCCCAAACTTCAGCAGCTATTTTCTCACTATTATCTCGACTCCTATTCAAGATAAATGGGGAATTTTTTATTTTTTTTGCCCCAAAAGCAAGACAAATGAACAAGGTTTAAGATGGTACCAATAACTTTATATCCCCCAAAATTGGCGAGCGCCTGATTCCACCACAGTGTGACACATATGTGAGGCAGTGTGGTGAAATCAAGCGCTCATCAAAATAATGAAAGTGAAGAAACTGGCATTTTTCTGTAGGTTTGCGAATTTTATCGAATTTTTGTATTTTTGCTCAATATATTTCATGCCCATTAAAGAACACATTTCTGTGCGGGTTTATTGAAAAACATTTGTTAAAGGCTTAAAAGATGTAAATTTTCAGTTTCCACGGACTCTCAACCTCAGGAAATAACTCAACTTTGGCGACCATTTTCTCCCCAATTTGGCCTCTGGAACCAGGCAGCCCCAACCTCCTTCAATCGCAAATATCTCGACTTTTATCTAAGTGGGTATTTTTTTCTTTGAAAGCAAGGCAAATGAACAAGGTTTAAGATGATACCTATAACTCTGTATGCCCCAAAAATTGGCGATCGCCCGATTTCGCTGCAATATTGACACATTTGTGTTTATTTCGCAGGTGTGATGATAGCATGCTGTGCGTGGTGCCCGATATATCTGCATTCCGCACTGGTGGGGGGAGATGGGTACGGCAACCGCTGCAGGTGAGTTTTTTGGTGTTCACCTTCACCAAATCCAGCCAGTTAAAAACTTTTCTTAACTCTTTAAACCCCATGGGACGCTGGGAGCGTCCAGTACTAGCAACGACATTTCCGGTGTTTTTTAGTAACGACATTTTCGTTTTGTTTAGTGCTAGTTTTTGCTTGTTTTGCGGAACTATTCCCGAACCAAGTCTTTTAGTAATGACTAAGCATTTGTTTCTGCCATTTAGAAGTTGGAGGCAAGCTTTTGGGGTTATAATGAGACATCGTGCACCAGGTTTAGGTGGCTGTAGAAAAAACTCTGGGAAACTGTGGAAAAAACTCAGGGTTTAAAGAGTTAAGTGTCAGAGTTCAGCCGTGGTTTTTTTTTTTTGTTGTTTTTTTTTTTTGTCCTGAAAATATCACAGCTGGCTTTTGCTGACAGAACTTACTTTTGTTTAAAAAAATGAGCGAATGGTTATTAGGCACAACTGATGGGTCCTACTTCTTTTATTTCTCTCTTTTGTTTCTGTCTGTCTTACTTTGCACTTAATGACTGTTAACCCTTATCCTGCGTCTGTGCTGAGATGCGAATCTTATTTGCAACCTCTTACGTCGGACATTCCGAGTGGACTGCCAGGGTCACTCAGTGTGTACTGTTAATGTACAGTGAGCGGGCCTGGAAACGTGTGTTTTCGCCGTGAATACCGTGGGAGTGTGTTAATCGATGTGGAAAACAACGCTCTATCTTTTATAGCTTTCTATTTTTAAAGTGTTACGAAACACATGAATGACCCCCTCTCATAAGCTGATAAGACATTACGAGTAGTTACGCCAGTTTGAATAACCCTTTTAGACGCTCTTGTTGTTATGAATGATCAAGGGTTCAATCGCCGTAAAACCTCACTGTGGGTGGTTGGCGGGTGCTCTGGTGTGGTTTGCTCCTTCTTTCCTATCAACCGTCTGTCGTCCTTATCTCCCCTCCTTCTTTTTTATGTTTGTTACTCTCTTGTAACGCCCCTAATCTTCGGCACTTATATGACCTTATTGTGTTGCAAGTGCCGTAAAACTCTTACTAAAACGAAAAACCGTACTAAAACTACAGACTAAATGACCATTATTGTGTCGATGTGCTTCTCTTTACGCTAACAAACAAACAAACTAACTTGTCTCCCCATCCACAGGTTCCCGTTTCCCTGGTCCGCTGTGATGGCGTCATCTACTCGACGGGCCTCATCTTCACGTACACGCCCGAGCCCGGGCCCCAGCAGCACTGCCGAGAGGTGGACCGCATCCTGGGCCGGGCGCCCGCCAGCCCCGACTCCACGTCCAACACGCTACACGCCGCCTTGTGATACTGGGAGTGGGGGGCCGGTGGTGGGGGAACACCACCCTCCTCACCCTCACCATCACCTTAAACAACCCCCCCACCCTCCTCCTCCTCCCCGGATCTCCGCCTCCCTACCCCCACCCCCACTCGCTCCGGTACCTTCTGACTCTGATATAGTGCCGAGTGCGGATGGTTCGGGATGAAGGAATATTGCGGCACTTGTATGGCCTGATTGTGTTGCAAGTGCTGTTAAACTCGTACGAAAACTTAAAAGAACGAAGTAATGATTTCTTCTGAAGGCATTCTTTCCTTTTCAAGTAGCCGGTGCGGAGAATTCTGTGTAGGAAAGGAATGTGTTTCAACTGGAGCCGATGTTATCCTCTCAAGCACCGAGAACAGAGGATTCCATTTGTTGAGAAAAAAAGAGAAGAAAACAAAACAGACTGTTTTTAACAAGAGGCGACATTTCTTGTTCAAGCTTTGAGTAAAGAGTATTCTGTTGCGGAAGAAAGGTATTTCTTTTGTGTAGGCGATTTGTGATAGATTTTGATTTATTCTAAGACTTCTATGTCGAGAAACTTGTATTCCACAAAACGTTTTTTTAGTTGGAGAACAAAAAGATTTTTTAAAAAACAAACCCTCCAAAAATCCCACTAGGAACCCGAAGAACAGTAGAGATTTTGTTGTTGCTATCACAAGGAAATTGGTAACTGTTTGCCCCTGCTGTACAAGGTGAGGAAAAAATTAATAAGCATTAAATGTTCTCTCTAATCTTGAAACAACAGCGTTGTCCCTAAGGGACCAGATTAAAGGTGAACTGATAATGATAAAAATGGGGGAAGATTTAACAAGGAGGTTGCTGCTGTTTCTAAGAACTGAAGGCGGGGGGGGGGGGTGTCTCCATAATGTGGAATACAGATTTTTATTTAACCAGGACTTTTGAGACGAGTGAGAGAAAATATTTCTTTTCTTCCAGAGATGTTGGTGGCGCTAAGAAAAGATATGAGGGACATACCAGGTTTTTGAGTGAGGGTAGTGTCTAAGTGTATGAATTAAAGAAAGATTAGTGAGCATGTTTATGTGTGTGAGAGAGGAAGATCGACGTACAAAAGAGAGAGATGGATGAATGTATATTATGTCTGATGGCTCAGAATTTGATTGTGAAAGAGTTGTATGCAAGAGAGAAAGATATGAGTGAATGATATGAGGGGACTATTTAGGAGATGAAGAATTTCCCCCCCCAAAAAACCTGAACTTGACTCTGCTAAACAGATGGTTATTTCCAGACTGACACCACTACTAAGATGTGGAGAAGTTGCTGTTGATGTGTTGGAAAATATCTTTCGATGTATGTGAGAAGTTCATCTATCAGTACAATGGAAATGTATCGTCGAGTGGTGCGAGTATCTCTCTCTGTTGATATGAGGAAATATAGGGCAAAGATATATGGGAAACACGTGTGTCGGTACGTTGCAAATATCTCTATTGATACTTGTGGGGGGGGGGGATATCAGTATCGATATGTGGAAAGTATCCACACAGTGGTCCTGTCAATACTGAGAGGTGGGCAACGGTTCGGGCTCTCCGGTTCTGCTGCGCTTCGATTGGCTACCAATGTTGACTCTTGTCTGTATTATGTTCTCATTACTGCTGATGCTACTGTTGGTTTATTTACAGTTTTGTTTTCCTTATACTGTTCTTTCAGATGTGTTGTTATTATAATAATTTTTGCAATAGTCTGATGCAAGCTGCAGCAATATTATATCATATATATATACACACGTACATGACATGTTTATGGGGCGATTTTTGTCTTCTTTTGGGGTGGATGGGAATGGTGTTTGTTTTTGTTGTGTGTGTTTTTTTAATTTTTTTTAGTTCCTGTATGTTTACTGGCTGTAATGTCCATTTGAGCTTTGATGTGTGGATTATTATTCTTTGTCTATGAATGTAATTATTTTTGGTAAAGTGAGTATGTTAGAATGGAAAGATTTTTGGGTATTTGCTAGCTCTGTCATTTATCTATGTTGAACAAGTATTTGTAAGAGTGTAGAGTGTTGTGGTAAACACAATCTTTTATTTTTAAAATGCAAAGGGTACGCCCTGTCTCATGGAAATATTACCTTTTGAACTATTATTATTATACTGACTAGTAAAGAACATTTTTAACTAGATGTAAAGGTTTACAACAATTTTTATGTCAAAATGAAGGATTTTTAAAATTCAGTCCGTGATGCTTTGGATTTATGCCCCTTAGAACAGTATTTAGTTGAATTTTTGGCAGCTCCCAGTTTTACAATTGACAATGGCCATATATATATGGCTTTTACTAAGTGAATGGAAGGCTGCAAGTGCAGAGTATGCTGTTATATTGAACATCTTTGCTTGTGAGAGACTTGTTCTTCTGCCAGATGGACTGCGTTGACCCACCAGTAGAATACGGGGAAATGTGTTTGCTTTTGGGGTACAAGACCGTTGAAGAAATGGGGATATGTGCATTCATTTTGCTGAAAATTTTGTCCCTACTTTGCTAAGCATAACAGCGTGTAGCTATCATGCACTTATTGTTCTGCGTACACTGGTACTTGCTCCTTTAGACGTGGGATGGATGGAAGGAAGGAAGGAAGGCTTCATTTGGTTTGTTTGTCTGCTAGGAAAGCGAGAGTTAAGGCTTGGAAAGGATTTTTTTTTTTTTTTTTTTTACTTCTGAAGTGCTAGGAGTCTGGTCCATGTACGGCAACCTTTGTCATATGAAGTGCATCCTGGTGTCTTTTAGTTTCTCTGCAGGACACAGCTTGCACTGAGTCGTGGATTAGCTTTTTCGATTTATTTTTTTTTTAAATCTTAAAAGCTTAAAATATGAAAGTGTGTTTGTTTACGTACCAAATTTTGATCTTTTTTTTTTTTTTTTTTTTCTGTGTTGAGTGAAAGTGAATGATTGAAGTATTAACATTTTTTTAGAATTTTATATATGTTCTTGTGGTTCAAAATTGTCCTCCCCGGTTGTGAGAGTTGTTCAACATTCTGTCCAATTTCCAAGTGCTGATGTTGGCAGTTTGTAGCTGTACATGACTGAGTCCTCTTTTTTTCTCTGTTGAATTGAATTGATGGTTGAGGTGTCTTATATCGACTTTTGTAGATTTTCGGCAGGTGCTCTGGTGTGGTTTGCTCCTTCTTTCCTCTCAAACATCTGAATGTTGTCCTTATCTCTCCTCCTTTTTTGTGTGTGTGTAAGCTACTCTCTTGTGACACACATATTCTTCGGTACTTATATGACCTTATTGTGTTGCAAGTACCGTAAAACTTTAACTTAAAACTAAACTAAAAATCGACTTTTACCCTCCACATGCAGAAATCTGTCTTTGTCTTAGTTTAGGGTTGCACTATTTTACAAAGGGAACGGTGTCTGATTTCACTTTCATCCGGTGCATCCTCCTCAGCCCCAAGAAAGAGTGGGTGGTTGGCGGGTGCTGTGGTGTGGTATGCTTCCTTCTTTCCTACCAAACATCTATCGTCTTTATCTCCCCTCCTTTTTTATGTTACTTACTCCCCTTGTAACACCTCTAATCTTCTGGCGCTCATATGAGATTTTATGCAGTTGCGAGCGCCGTAAAACTTGTACTAAAACTTTAAAAAATCCCCTAGAAATTGTGACATTGTCAGGAGTTTCTCTCAGGGATAGGGTTGTTCACAACACATAGGCTCATGGGTGGGGTGGGCAGAGATCGTGGCTACTGGTAAGTCCTACTTCTTTTCTTCCCTCCCTATTTCTTCTGTCTATCCGTCTTTACCTCTTCCGCTGTGCAAAATGACTGTTGTTGTGTCATCGTGCTTCTCTTTACTCTTAGCAAAGAAGGCTCAAGGCATAGGG